CCCCCCTCCACTGTTCGCTTGCGGAATCTCGGAGTTTTGCCACGTTTTTACCTGATGGAGCAATAACCATAAGGAATCTCTTGACTCGATGTTTTATGCCAATTGACGGTAAATCAAAAAGCCTCGTTTTATGACGGTTCCTTCGGACTACCGCGGTCCGCTTAATTCTATATGCACGGTTGGTGGCCGCCTCGAACGTAAACAGTCACCGGACGTAACAATTTTCGTAAAACATAAGACACGGTATAAATTAACCAAACAGAATTTATCATCGTGTATATGTATATATCATGATGCAACAAAAGTTTCATAACTAGTAAAAATTTTAGCAAAAAGCTGAATTCCTATCGAAGTACGGAATGCCGATCGAATTGAAATTCATGGAGATACAAAAAATATTCCAAGTTTCGTTCAAAAAGTTGAAACCGAGCACGATTTCACCTTGAACGAAACCTGCTTCGATCCAAGAACGATTCGCTACTAGTCTCTCTGGTTAAAATGTAAACACGATCTATGGTGGACAAACACAGACGAGATTTCCTATACCTATAGACACGTGGAACACGCGTATCGCTGCCTATTCCATTTTCGGGACCGGTCTTCGACCTATTAGCATATGTTTTCTTTTTAATTGCGAGGCTCTCATTGGCGCGGCGACCAGAATATCGGAACGACGGTTTTTCCGACCATAAATACGACACGTCAGCGACAATGACGTGCATACGACCGGTTACCGGGCCAGTGAATCGTTCGTTTCCACGCATAGCTGCTTTTCCAATTTTTTTTTCTTTCTTTTCTTTTCACACGAGCGACAACCACATCAGGTACAGGTGTCGCGAGTAAATCGCTTTCCTTCGCGTCTCATCCTCCCTATTATCATTGATTTTCATTGAATACCAATTACAGGCTTATGAATCCGGAGGTGGATGTGAATCGTAATAAATATTCCGTTTCGCTGAAATAACAGAGACGCGTGTCATGTTTGCGTCGTGAATTGTGCATGAAGAATCGTACTCTTGATTGCCGCGTCGATTGTAGTCGACAGCAGAAAGTGGGAAATATTAATTGGTATGTAGTTGGCAATTGTACTAACGTTTTTAGTTGTAATACGCGCAGACACGGAAGTACTTGTACAATCGAAACGTAGGAATACAAAATTTTACGTATTATTAAAACTTATCCGAATGTACGCACATTACACACAAAACCACAAGTGTAATTATCACGTAACATGAAAGAAACGTCTTTAAATCTGGCGAAGGAGACTTTATCATTGGTACCAATATCTTATCGATCGAATAAGTTTAATGACGTCGGCGTGCGTCGACGCGTTCGAGTGGCTGAAACGAATTACCAATTCAAATAACGAGTTGCCGGTTCTCAAAAACCGTGAAACTAGATCATTTTTAGTTGGTCCAGATTCTATGTATGTTTCTGCGAATTTCCGATTCTTCGTTGAACTTAATCAGATAGATAAATCAGATGTATAAAGCAAACGGCGCATCTGTGTAGTTTAAATTTCATTCCGCGACAAGATTCCGCGAACGAGAATTCAATAATCCATAGGATGATTTTCATTTGGTACTTTTTGTAGTGGGAAAACTTCTACAAACTAACGAATACTTTATTTTGCTAGAATAAACGCATATGATTGTTCTTTATTTCATCGAGTATTACTTTCAAACGTCTAGTTATTATTACATCACGATGTCGAAAACTTTCATCGGTATCAGGTGATATTTTCTTTTATCTGCGATTTTAATTAAGTTCAAGAACAGGTATTTTATTTAGTCGTAATTAATTAAATAGAAATAAAAATAATTAGATCAAGTAAAAACGAAATGACATTCAAATTTTATCAGATTTAGTACTAAATTCAAATTTCCAAGTTCGAGAATAAAATGTATGTGAAACTATAGGTAAATTAACTTACATTGTAATGGAAAAAGTTCTAGTTTTATCTGCAACATGTCAAGTATCGGTATAAGTCAGGTCAGAAATTGGAGGACGATATTTCTAAAGGAGAAGCAACTGAAAGTTGAATTTTCATTTGTAGAAAATCAAAATAAACGGAAGTAAACGTTTATACAAGAACCTCAAACGTAATATTCCAGCTCTCTGTAATATACATCCACATCTAGCTCTGTTTTATCAGGTTTTATCAGGTTTGTTAGCATACGTTTGCATACATTAACAAACTTCCTGAATTATTTACAAACGACAAGTAATCATTGACACAAAGCGAAAGCGTAAAAGATGCGAGACCGTGTGCTTCCACGGGGCGCATAAATTACATTAGTTAACGAAAATATACGAAGGACGCTCGTATCGATAAACGGTGTTAGGAATTTCGGCGGGGTCAGTGTATGTATCATAGTTCGAGAAGACGAGCCACAAAAACACAGAGACCTTGCTTCGACGCGTATACTGTCACTTCCAAGTAGATTCGACGTAAAATGTGTCAAACCCCTTAAGATACGCTACGAAAGTTCCGATTCGTTTTCCTTGCTATTACCATATAATACGAAAAATGACGAAAGTACAATAAATCGTAAAAAATTCAGTGAAAATGAAAATCCTGAAAATCGTTGATTTTGTTAAGTCGATAAAAGTATGGACAGAATTTTCAATGAATGTAAAGTATCACATTTATTTAATCAAAATATTTATTACATAGAAACTAATCGATCTATAGTCTATTGTAATAAAATTAATTTATGATTTTCATTTGGTACTTTTTGTAGTGGGAAAACTTCTACAAACTAACGAATACTTTATTTTGCTAGAATAAACGCATATGATTGTTCTTTATTTCATCGAGTATTACTTTCAAACGTCTAGTTATTATTACATCACGATGTCGAAAACTTTCATCGGTATCAGGTGATATTTTCTTTTATCTGCGATTTTAATTAAGTTCAAGAACAGGTATTTTATTTAGTCGTAATTAATTAAATAGAAATAAAAATAATTAGATCAAGTAAAAACGAAATGACATTCAAATTTTATCAGATTTAGTACTAAATTCAAATTTCCAAGTTCGAGAATAAAATGTATGTGAAACTATAGGTAAATTAACTTACATTGTAATGGAAAAAGTTCTAGTTTTATCTGCAACATGTCAAGTATCGGTATAAGTCAGGTCAGAAATTGGAGGACGATATTTCTAAAGGAGAAGCAACTGAAAGTTGAATTTTCATTTGTAGAAAATCAAAATAAACGGAAGTAAACGTTTATACAAGAACCTCAAACGTAATATTCCAGCTCTCTGTAATATACATCCACATCTAGCTCTGTTTTATCAGGTTTTATCAGGTTTGTTAGCATACGTTTGCATACATTAACAAACTTCCTGAATTATTTACAAACGACAAGTAATCATTGACACAAAGCGAAAGCGTAAAAGATGCGAGACCGTGTGCTTCCACGGGGCGCATAAATTACATTAGTTAACGAAAATATACGAAGGACGCTCGTATCGATAAACGGTGTTAGGAATTTCGGCGGGGTCAGTGTATGTATCATAGTTCGAGAAGACGAGCCACAAAAACACAGAGACCTTGCTTCGACGCGTATACTGTCACTTCCAAGTAGATTCGACGTAAAATGTGTCAAACCCCTTAAGATACGCTACGAAAGTTCCGATTCGTTTTCCTTGCTATTACCATATAATACGAAAAATGACGAAAGTACAATAAATCGTAAAAAATTCAGTGAAAATGAAAATCCTGAAAATCGTTGATTTTGTTAAGTCGATAAAAGTATGGACAGAATTTTCAATGAATGTAAAGTATCACATTTATTTAATCAAAATATTTATTACATAGAAACTAATCGATCTATAGTCTATTGTAATAAAATTAATTTTTGATAGATGTCAAACAAATGTAAGAGGATTTGCGATTATGGCAGGGTTACAGTAAATATGTTAGATAGGTACTACCTTTCTACACATTCTATGATTTCGTACGAAGATAAACATTCTAGCAGCATTTAATCCTCAAAGGTTCTAAAGTAGGAATTTTAATTTTGCTACAATGTTTATTCGTCGGAGAAGTCGAGGTTGTGGAAAAAACAGAATTACAACGTTCTTTCTAAATTCGATTTCAAAGGAAGCAATTATATAGGAAATCTTTGCTGTTTCACGTTATAATTTACGGATAAATATCGTACGTTTGCAACCATAGATACGAAATACAAATGAAAACAGAATTAATTGGATATACATTGTACACGTGATATCTTTTACAACACATAGTGTTCACAAATATAAATTTTTATTATTCTTTGGTCGTTATTTATCTTCCACGCTATGCATATTCATCGTATAAAATCACATGAGATCGAATCATATACAGGCAAAAAAAGGCGAATCGAAGAAGTAAAGCAAGAATATTATTCGCATCGCAAAGTTCGATCTCGGCAAACTCAGGAAGGCCAATCTCTTGATTGTTCGCGCGTGACAACAAGATCACGACGGGAGAAAATGATCAACAAATACCGGCGATCTACGTAAGCAAAGAATTGAATTCGTTTTGAATAAACTATGAAAATAGGTGTGGAGTCCAATCAACCAATCCGACCGGTTCGATTCGTCCTCCATCCTACAACGGACTTCTTCTATTTTCATAGCAATTAGTATTCGCTGCTTGTTTCCTCGAAATATGCAAGTTTACTGTGTAAATCGTTTCCCATTGAAGTTACTGTTTTCCAAACATCTATATCGAACGTGCTAGAGTATAATGGAAGCTGTTTCGACTAAAGCTGCTTCGATTAAAATTTTAGATTGTTCGTTGATGAAAAATTTTCATGAACGTAGAAGTGGAATGGCATAGCCCGTAAACCCTGCAACGTTCCAAGCTACGCCGTTACAATTACATATATTTTCTGTTTCAAGACGCGAGAGGATTTACTCGTCGTATGACTTGATAGTTTGCTAATAGAAATACATTGCTAAACACGTGCGATCTGGTAATATCTAGCGATGAAACTACAAGGGCGATCTACGTAAACACAGAACCGATTTAAATTAATTACGAAAGAAGGTGTGGAATCTAGCCGACTAATCCGACCGGTTCGTTCGTTTCCCAACCTACAGTGGAACATTTCGATTATATGACAGTCCAGAGAACAGATTTCCTCTCACGATCAGTGATGGAACACCGCTTGATCAAGGATTATCGTTCGCTGATCTTTCGATCTCTTCTGGATAAGAAAACCTCAACGGCTGAAATTCATTCAACATTGCTGGTACATTTTAACGACTCGTGAACGTTTGACGACGTTCGTGAACGTTTGGTGAATTTTGAAGTGTTGTTAACGGATACGAAGGAGGGGATTTTGTTCGGGGGTTTCGAAATTTCCAAGTTGGAGATGTCGACGCCGGTATATCGCGACCAATGGAACGTTCAGGCGTCAGATATCGCGAGAAGAACACACAACCCCATAAGATCCATCGTGGAATGTCTCGTGGTCGAGCCTAATCCTGCTAAGTCCATGATCTCGTTATCCATCGGTGAGGTTTTCCTTTATACACAGTTTATTTCTCGCCTGTCATTTTAAGCGGAAGATCGGTCGAGTTGCTTTGAAATCGAGTAACTCGTTTGCGTACAAATAATTTCTAATCTAATTTCCAATCAAGCAAACTGACAAGCTAACGTTAATAAAGTGTTTCAAATTATTTGAAGTGATAACTGTTTGGTTTGCACGCAGAAGATATTAGAAAAAGAGCACGAAACAGAGACAGATAATAGTTTTTAAATTACGAGTTTCTGGGATTGGAAAAGGAATCTCGTGAGACCGGATAATTTCGTGTTCCGCGCTTATCGTGGTCTTGTTCGCGTGTAATTAGTTCGTTTGTTCCTTTTTGCTATCTCGTTTAATAACAGAATTGTGAGCCATTTTAAACTGTTCGTAACGTTTGTAAATTTTCAAAAAAGAAGTTAAGATAATTGATTTCTTCGTTTTGCATTTTATATACGTACGAATATATTTTGTTTTCTTCGACGATGATTCGAAAAAGAAGAAAAATACTTTGAATCACGTTGGATGATCACGTGTAGCTTTTCATAAAAAAAAAACTATTTAAATTTAGAATTGGCAACAACAAGTCTAATGAGTACGCTCCGAGCAGTTTAATCGACAGAATATGCTTTATAATTATTTTATTTTTACTTTAATGAAACATCGTATTACTAATCTACTTGAAGAAAATGCTTAAATGTTTATTATTTATATATCAAATATATAGAAATTGATTAAATTTAGAGGTAATTGATAAAGTAGTTTAAAAAGTTTAATAACAAAATTGATGTGAAGCACTTTTTCGCGTAGCTTGAACTATTTATCACGTACGGTCGCCTATTCCCAAATTTAATATGCTTCGTTTCAAGATAAAATCAGAAATTCGGAATAGTCGTCGATCGATTGTTTGGAGATGTTTATATATTACATTCAATTCTTTTACGTGACGAATAATTGTAATTATTCTATCATTAAGGTCAATCAATGGTTTAAAGTATTTTACCAAGAAGTTCTCTATTTTTAGGTGATCCAACTACTTTTGGAAATTTAAAACCACCCAAAGAAGTAATTGATGCTGTTCAACAAAGTCTCGTTTCTCAATTGTACAATGGATACGCACCTAGCACAGGTACTAATAATAAATTAATAATTCAATAGAAAGAAATTGTACTAACATGAGATTGATAAAATATTTTATTTATTATCTGTTATAAAATTATCCTTCGAATCGATCTTTAAATTCGGTTCCGATTTATTTTTTAAATAATTAATGACGCAATATTATTTTAGGTCACCAAAGCGCAAGGGAAGCCGTAGCGGAATATAGTTCCAGCGAATTCGTAAAAGTGGATGCTAAGGTAAATTCTTAATCGTTAATACCATGATCTAGTGAAATTGGTTAAGAAATCAAAATTAATGAATAAAATGATGTGCAACTGTCCCTTTTCTTTGTCGTTGATAATCGTATTGTCGACGCGATGTTGATCTTCAGATGAAAGAAAAAAGGAATAATATCCCAGAAATGAGCAAAATACATAATTTTACGTTGAAAGATTAATTATTTCACAAATAGAAAACTCTGACTGAATTTAAAGCTAATACTTCGTACCGTTGATTATGTATAATTTCAATCTTCGTCATTTTCCAGCGACACAAAATGTTGGATTCGATAAACAGTCGCTGTTAATAACGTTTGAAATTTTCATACGTCACTTAAGAGCCACGATTGATATACATTTTTCGATTAACTTTTTCCATCGACGAGACAGAGGACAGGTATCGATGTTAAAACTCCGTTTGTTATTGCCTTACAAATGCGTAAATGGCAATTATTTTTGTTAAATGTTTAATAAAAACATTCCTGGCGTTCACGTCAAGTTTATTGCAAAATACAATAAAGCATTATTAAATGTTTAATGAAGGATAGAATTTCATTTCCAGACTTTTGATTTGCAAACTAATTTTTTGTGATAATTATTGGACGTTTTCTAGCAAAGATGAATATTCTAATTCTCCGTTCTTTGCTTCCTTATTAACAATTTTTTATCTATAATTCTGTATATCGTTTTACCTTTGTCCGAATGTTCTGTTTAATATATGTATTTGAAATATGAAACGAATGTACATGTGGTGCGTGAGCGACGGTATGACATACTTTGAGATATAATTTATACGGAAATATCGAGTGCGGAATTAAATTTGTAGCAGATTGTAATATATTAAAAACGGTTTATTATCATAAATTCTGAACATGTTTCTAAAGAGACTAATTACCTACATTTTGTGACAGTTTTTGTAAAAAAGCACGATAACAATCTGACTTACGGCGAATGCATGTTTAATAGTTTGAAATATTCTACAGTAATCTTAGTATGTACAAATACCTGTTAAAATTATTGAACATGTAAAAAGTATGATAAAGAACGCTACTTGCAAAAAAAACTATCTAATCGATGAACCTCGTAGAGTTGCGATTTTTATGCTGTTCGAAAAGGTATGTCACAAAGTTCATAAAAGTGTTAAACAAAAAATGAACTTGACAATTTTTTTGAAATTGTTACTGATGAGAATTTTTATGACTTTATCTATTAAGATATCTTTGCACGAATCTATTTCTCTAACATAATAATACTTGATCGTGACAAAATCAATTCCTATTACTAACGAGAAAGAAAAAGACAACGATATAGGAAAAATTGAATGCTGGTAAAGAAAACGCAGAAGCATCTGGTTATTCCATATTGTTATCGATCTGTAGAGAACTGTGCTACTGAAAGCCGCGTTGCATACAGATTACTTCCGGCTACGCCTTGTTTTGCATACGCAAATAAATCATGTGTATTAATTACATTCGAAGTCTGATTAATTGCCCTATTTGATGAATTATTTGGATAACATTTTAGAGAACATGCATATCCATATAAATTATGTTCCTCGATCGACAGGTTTAACATTAACACTGAAACTTTGAAATGGAAATATCGAAATATCAGATGCATTGCATTTTCATTATGTATCGCATTTGATTTTGTTAATTTATTAGTCGAGTATAATGAATTATTCTTCACTGACTGTATTCATTTCTTCTCTTTATCATAGTATTTTTTCAAGTTGAACACGATCGAATTGGGCATGAAGCTTAAATGTCACGATGTCACAAAAGTAGCCAACGACTTTGCGACTGTGACGCCTAGCATATTCTCTCGTTTTTTGTGCGATCGTGAACGAACGTTCGAAAATTACCCTAAGCGTATCTAAGCTTTTTAAAGAAGTCTTAGCGATTTGTCAGGATTTTACTTTTTCCCCTTTTCCTTGCACAACGAATAATCGAATCGTCCAATTAGGTTTCCAACCTAATATACAGTTTTCCATAGAGATGCGGTCGAGCTTCGTATATTTTCAATCTTGCAGAAGATGTTTCGATTCGAATTAGCTCAACCTGTAACCAGGCGCTTATAGAAACTCGTTCATCTGCAGGCACATCGTGTCCGCTCCCTTTCTGTGTGTATTCATTCGTTGTTTGCGTGCACGTGTATACGATATCTAGTTAAACCGCCAGTTGATCGGAACTGCCGACGAAGTTTGCTGGGAAAACCGAATTTCCCTGCACGATCGGCCGCAAACTAGAAACCACGTTCTCTAAAAGAAGAAATATCATCAATTAACTACGAACTGTCCGGCATCTACGGTTCTCGATACAATCACGAGAAAATCAATAGAATCTCTTCGCTTCACTGTTCCGTTCAAACAATCGTTTTTCCGATCAATGAATTTTTCTCGTTTGCTTTGTCGTTCTTGTATGGTCAACGTATCATAGTTTCTAGATTCTAGCTAAAATATCTTTATTTATTTATCTATTTATTTATTTATTCATTTAGATAGCATGTGATTTTCTGTTCATCTTTCAGGAGGTATTTTCGTTGCGTTATTGCCATAAATCTGTGTTACTATTTGTTACATTTTCTTTTTAATTTCTTAACTTAATTTTCATCGAATCGATTTCATAATTGCTCGCGTGCGTCGTATTTCGTAATATTCGCGAAGCCAGGCATTTTCTACTTCAATCTTGCACATTTAGCATCTTCGTATTTATTATTCATGCAGAAAAATGTAGTATTATTTAACTTTCACCATTAAAGGACACTAGACAAAAATTGGTGTTTCAAATATTAGATTCGTACTCACACGTAAAAATATATTTTAATCTTCCTTTCGAAAGACAAATTTTCCTTTTTAATATCGTCCGATGGATGATTTTCAATATGCATAAGTAAAAGTCGAAAATAAATCAATGCGACGTTTCGTTGAAAAATTAAACAATCCATCACGATTGTAAAGATCAAATTTATTCTCACATACACGGTACTGGAAAGTACTTTTATGTGTATAACAAATTTAATATTCGCAGTTCGATATTTCGTGTCATTGTAAATGAAAAGTATTGAAAATATAAAACGAAGCAAAATTAATAATTTTTACGTAAATGGAAAATATCTTCCTTGTAATTCCTTTAGGGAAAAAAGATAAAGGGATTAAACAACTTGTCATTAAATTTAATACTTGATATTTTTTATCCTCGTTATGCAAAAAAAAAAAAGAAAAAATCCACAGATCTAAAAGTAATGTATTATCAGGACTCAGATATCACCGTGAAAATTTAAAATAAAGCCCACCGTTTCGAAATCCGAACAGAATCGATATTGTTGCAAAAAAAATGTTCATAAAGCAAGGAACATTCCCCTTGTGCTGCGAAAATTGTAATGTATGGCATGCAATGAATCTGCTATTAGCTTTATTCACTGCGCCCCCAGGAAATGAACGTCGGAAAAACGACGAGAACCGAGCTTTTTCACAGTTCTAAAGATTTCATGTGCATCGAACGTTTAATTAATGTATGGCTGCGTAGCTATAGGCGAATATTCTTCCCATTTTCTTCGCTAGCATAATTCATATAGAAGAATATATTTAGAGATATAAATACATCCCAAACTTAACGTGTATTTTTACTTTCATTTTAAATTATTAATTTTATACGGCAGAGTTAAATTTTCCACAGATCAGTTACCACTGGATTTCTTTTCTTTTCAAATAGATTTTAACGTCGCGTTAATCGCACGGATAGTAACTTACGAAAATGGTTGAAAGCTTACCACAGAAAGCTTTTATGTGTTACACGAAAGATTGTGAAACTTCATTAGTATCGTAATGATACATAACTTTATCCGATGATATTAGTAAAATTCGAAACTAATCTGAAAATGTAGTTAGTAGCTACAAGATATTATTTACTACAAACTTGTACGTATTTCGTTAAAAATTAGCACGTAGCAGAATGGCGATTTTAAACACATACATATATATCGAAGATGGTTTTATCGAATATCGAGGCTTATTAATATAACGGATAATCGACTGTTTAAATAGTTTTTGAACCTCTATGAATTATATGCATACTTGCATTAAATACCTTGCAGCTTCTGTGTACAGTTTTAGATTTGTTTAAAAATTCCTGGTGTATAGGTTGACCAGAGTGGAAAAAGATCACGATACACGATTTCTATAGCAAATTAGCTTATAGCAAATTAATTGGCTTTAGTCACAAATTTATTAGAAAGATGGCTTTCAAACGGAATGCTAATTCTCGATCCTCTGAATTCTCTCTTTTTTCAGGATGTAATTTTATGCAGCGGATGCTCCTGCGCTCTCGACCTCTGTATAACAGCGTTAGCACGAAGGGGGCAAAATATTCTGATACCGCGACCCGGTTTCTCGATCTATCGAACACTTGCAGAAGGTCTTGGTATCAACGTAAAATCCTATGAGTTACGCGTAAGTATAAACGTATCTCGAAAGTTCACCAATATTCTCGCATCTGCATTTTAGTACCAGCATTTTACCTGATATCGATGACAACGTTTTTATATAAAGAAAAATTTATTATTTCCATGCCTTTTCTTTTACATTCTTTATTTAATCGATATGTTTATATTATACTAATGATATATATTTTCCTATCCAATTACACATTTTGTTTAAAATACGCAAGGTTTAGCAACTACAAACATCAGTCTCACTATCACATGTTTGCTTTTAGAAATCGATGTAATTGCATCATAATATTTTGCTACATAGGTACGATGATGATTATAACGACTGAAATTCTTGTAATTCGATTTATCCGTAAAAAAATAAGCAAGTGTCCACATACTTTTGAAAAGTAGCGTATACACGTATCTCGATTTGAAAAAAACGGTAAAATGTTAAACTTCGTGGTAATAACGAGGTCTTTCCCGTCGTTCCTTTGTCTCCTTTGCCGCGAATTTTAATGCCTCCCCACTCGCCCAGACAGCGCAGCGTGGACTATTTTACCACAGAGAAGTAATTAAAACCACGGTACCGTGGCTCTTCGTGGTCTACAAGGGAGAGAGAGAGAAAGAGAGAGAGAGAGAGAGAAAGAGGGGGAAAGATTGTGGGTTATAATGCAGAAGTTGAGGTGGATTATCCGTATGTAAGGTGGCCCGTATGCACGTAACTTTCGGTACACGAATTTTCCATTTGTCACGTGCTGATGAAAAATTAATTCGCGATACGCGATCTTCTTTCGGGATCATTATTGAATGTCAAGGTTCGTATTAATTTTTGAACGATTCCCGTTTCGCTTCAGCTTCTACATGAACGCTTTTTGAATGTTTTAAAAGAGAAAGCTGTGAAATTATTGATTTTGGATGTTCTTGAAATGTTAGAATTTTCTTGCATAATAGTTTACTAACTGAGAAAAGCAATTGCTGTTGATAATTTCTATTTCATGACTTGTAAAGCTTCGTTAATAATATTACGTAGTTCTATTGTGCAAGTGTACCGTGTGACTTTAAAATACTAAAAAAATAACTAAAGGCGCGACAATTTGATCATATTTATTAACAAACGATGTATTTGTTGTTTTAATTTTTTGGAGTTTTCGAATGCTTCTGTATATGAACAGCAGAGTTTTGAATAAAGAAATTTCAAAATTCAATAGGATTATAGAAATTGAGAAACGCCATTTGTAGTGAATCAAACCAAGATGTTGAAGTTATGAAGTCGAAAATTCAATAATTTGTTTGTTTGTGGCAACAATTTGTTTTCAAACGTCAGACATAGAATATTTTAACAAAACAGGATAAAATTCCTTGGAGTGTACGCGAAATACATAATTAATACTGTAAACAAGATTAAAATCGATAGTTCGTAACATTTTCGTGCAACGTATGGTAATAACTTATTTTTTAATACATCATTGTCAAAGATTGAGTTGTGCATAACAAGTTCTGGTACTTGCGGCTTATCGTATTGCATGGTCCATGCCATTTTCTGTGACTTATAAGCCCACACATAAGTATTGATCCAGCTACCATACGTATACTGGGTGCCCTGAAAATATTTATGATCGCGCAGAAAAAACAAACAATTTTTCAAACAAGATTATGAACTGGAAATTTCAGCCGTAAACGTCGCGCAACTAAAAAGAGTATACATGATCATATATTCTGGATTTGCACAGTCTGGATGATTTATAAATACAAAATTTTAAATAATTTAATCGAATAGTCATAAACGGTATATATATAAAATATATATTAGGACTTCTCAGTCTACGATATATTATTCGTTCTTTCAAAATTTCTTTTAAAGTACCTTTGAAATGAATTTTTGAAAAGATCATCGAAAGCTCCAGCCCCGTCGTAATATATCGTGAAGCGACGAAAATAACAAAATTAGAAACAACTGCATAGTTTTGCGAAATACGTTGAAACCTACAGTTTCTGGCCATTCGCGAAATGCTGAAATAATATTTACATATTTCGTTGCGTGCCGCTATGTTGTGTCGGAACAGGTTGTTTCCTTCTTTTTTTTGCTACTTCGTGTGTTGAAGACATACTAGTACTTAACGTGAACACGTACTTACGTAGTATGTATCGCGAGAAAATAGCGTAAGAGGTTGCTGTGATAAATTGGGGTACTTAAACTTATTGCCTACAATACTGTTCTAGCAGCCATTAACTTGGAAAACCTATAAAAATATGTTATATATTGATACCATAAATCGTTTTATTTGCTTTAACGTCTGCCATAGTTATTAATAACCCATCGAATCTTACAGAAAATTAGCTAAAGTAATTAAAAGTTTACGAAGGAAAGCAACAACTTAATTCTAACGAAGAAAAATTTTTTTTCAAAGCGGTATACTTAAGTAAATATAATACGAAAATGCTACGACACGATGGATTTGTATAAATATCTTTCCTTCCTATTTTGTATACCGAATATATCACAGCTTTGTCTTAAAAACAGTTGTATTTTACTTTTTTTAAAATAAAAAATTTTAAAGTATATGCATAATAAATAATTTAATTATACGTTATTACGTCATAGGAAAATATTTTCCATGGAGGAACTCGGTTAACGTCGGTTATTCACGTTTCTAGCCTGAACTCGGCTGGGAGATCGATCTGGACAACTTGGAATCACAGATCGACGAATTCACCGCAGCGATCATTATAAACAATCCTTCGAACCCGTGCGGTTCCGTATTTAGCAAGGATCACACACTCGACATTCTCGACGTAGCCGCTCGTTACTACATACCAATTATTGCCGATGAAATTTACGAGCATATGGTACGTGATTAACATACGCACACATACAGCCCTTATAGTTTCATTTTATAATGAAATTATATAAATTATAATAAAGTAGTATACGTTTAAACTCAATTCGAGTCAACCTATAAGTTACCCACTGAACGGTGTTTTGATATTGAACGTCATATAATTAATATTCTACAAATCTATAGCTAATATTAAGTAACATTAAGCAGATGAGCTTTGTACGGTTTATTTTATTAAAATTTTTTAATTTTTAGAATTTTACGAAGTTATCGAATCTTGTCGTACTATAAAGTAGAAACCACTTAATTTGATTTTCAAGTTTTCTTTTTTAATTCTGATTTGTTAAATGCATTTTACGATAGTTCGTGCTAGGAAGAATCAATTTAACGAACAAGTCAAGTGCTTCTTCGATAACAACCGTTGCTTCATAAAAGTCTCGTTTAATTTTCTGCAAGATACCAAAAATCTTGTACCATCTTTGCCATTTTAAAAATTTATTACATTTCTTTTATCGTTATTTTATCTTACCAGGTGTTCCCAGGACGGACTTTCCATTCGTTAGCATCTTTGTCGAAGGAAGTTCCTATTTTGTCATGTAGCGGCCTGACGAAGAGGTATGCAAAAATGAACTTTGAAATCTTAGCATGTTATGATCGCGTCGCTTGGATATTTTCATTCCTTGAAATACATTCGTGAAGTTTTTACGTGGGACGTTTTACAGCGGTTTACGGCTACATTCCGTATACATAATTGCACGAGCATCGTGGAATCAATATTACAGCGAATTCTCGGTGGTCAAGCGGGAAGTTTTGTGGCGGCGAATGTTCGCACGCAACCTGGACACCGATGCTCGTTGCTTCCTATTTTAAAAATAGTTTCATCGCCAAAAGCTTGGAATATATTCAAAATATTGATAAAAAATATATTATCTGACAAATTTTGGATAAATTACCATTGTTCAAAAGCTTGAATTTACTTTAAATCGAGTAGTAACTTAATTTTTCGCTACTCATTTTCATTTATTGTCCGTCTTAAAGAAGAAATTTATCGTCAATAAATTTTCTAATTGTGCTTTCGATACCAGTTTCCATTTTACCTTTGGAGTTCGTAAATTACTCTCTAAAAAAACAGGACTCGTAGATATATTGCAAGGATATAGATATTTTATTTATTTATAGCTAATATCAGAAACTAGGATAAAAATTTCCAGGGCAATTTACTCAATTCACCATTTTGCTCTATGGTCCCCTTTTCGAGAAAACTTCCCAATTATAATTTAAATATAAATCTTAATGTAAGATTATAGACCAGCGGTATATCATTCTCTGCACTTTCTGCTTGGTTATTATCATGTAGCGATGTGACTCGGAGCATGCACTAGTAATAATCGAGTTACAACAATGGACGCATTACCAGGTAAACGGTAATCTTCACCGATGTTTCAGATTTTTAGTGCCCGGCTGGCGTATGGGCTGGATAATCATTCACGATCGTCAAAACGTGCTGGAGAAGGAGGTGGGTAATTGCACGATACGCTATATACGGGAAAGCTTGAAAATAATTGCTTCTCCTTTCGTATTGTTTCCGTAACAAGAACGACCAGATCTGTTTCTGCGCCGTGCCTTATCGCGTTTGGATTAAATTTCGTTGATTAAATTTTATCCCATCGTTAAAGTTCTCCACTTGGCACCGTTCACCGTGTCCTCAACTTTGCTCGAGTCTTACTTTCGCGTTGAGGAAAAAAAGAGAAAAAAGAAAGAATGAAAGGAAGAACGAAGGAAATCGAAGAAATCAACGAGTCGAGCAAAGGACGAGACTGTGAGCTCCAGCAAAATTTTGCTTTCGAAGAACTTTAATTCGTACTTTTCTTTCTTATAAGAATTTCCAATTGCATAATGTGCGATATATTGTATTACTTTTTCTTATTCTCTTATGTAGATAAGGAAAGCGCTTCGTTGTCTAAGTCAGAGAATTATCGGCAGCAACACGCTTATTCAAGGTGCGTTGCCCGCTATTCTGAAGAACACGCCACAGGAATTTTACGATGGCGTCGTTAGAATGTTGCATGTAGGTTTTTGTTATCTTAAGTACCTTCTAGAAATTTATGCAAACTCGAAAATCGCGAGGGTTATATTTCACGCGGGATATTTACGAATATAACAAAATTTAAATTAGGCGGAACATCAATTAATTAATCTGTTAAACCGGGGAAGAGTTAACACGTTACACGAATTTTTAATTTCCTGGATATAACTACATATACTTTTCTTTATAAATTTGCCACGATATAATGATCAAATGTTCATTTTCGTTTTTAGGATCACTCGAAAACGGCGTACAACTGTGTGACGAAAATCTCAGGGTTGAAACCAATAATGCCCGACGGAGCAATGTACATGATGGTAATCATCTAATCTGTGTTAATAATTTCTCTGTCTATGTCTCGCGATATGAATACAAAGGGAAGTAAAGTAACAAAAGTAACGGAGAACGTAACAATTCCTAAAACAAAATGTACCTAAATCTACTATAAATCAGAGTGTAAATCCAATTTGCTCTACTTACAGTTTCCGATAATAAGTTTGGGAAGTAGATCATGCGCGACATGTTATGTAATGTATATGAATAATGAAATTCCAAAGTTTCTTAACAGTACCTTATTTACCGTTATTAAACTCGATTACAAGGCGATTCGATTGAAATTGCCATTCGTGTAAATATTTCGTGTAATTAGGCGAAAATCAGACGCGATTTAAACGTTAAGGTAAACACACCGACGTTAAGGGTAGCAGATCGCAATTTACTGACTATAAATTATCCTATCGGTCCCCCAGGTTTACATAGATCTACCTTGTTTTCCGGAATTTAATTCCGACCTCGAATTCGTGCAACGATTGCTAATGGAGGAGTCTGTGTTTTGCCTTCCTGGCCAGGTACGCCCTATAAATCGAGCACTCGTTCGACTGGACGTTTTCGTCGATTAAGCGCTTCTCAATTCTTTTCACAGTGCTTCGATTATCCGTCGTACATGCGGCTGGTCATCACGGTGCCCATAGATATGTTGGAGGAGGCCTGTCAGAGAATACAGGAATTCTGCGAGAGGCATCACTATAAAACAGCCGAAGATACGCAAAGAAGCAACTTAATTGCTGCGGAAATTCCATATTAAAGAGTATACGTGATTTAGTTAATTTCGTTGTTTTATTATTTATATTACGTCGCGTTGGTGCATAGGTGTGAAGTGAAATGTCATTCTTTTCAAATAATATTTTCATTACACGTAGTTTCCTTGAAACGTGATACGTTTAATAGAAATATAATAATTTCCATATGATTCGATACATGTTTCCAATCAATACCTGAATTTTGCCATCTCAGATCGTCGGTAAACCTAAGTATTTTATAAGTATTATATCAAATTGTTAAGTAATACTTATAAGTATAGATGATAGCTTATTTCTCGATGTTTAATACATAATTTTCAATATAATTTAATATAATTTTAAGTTTTTATAGGTATAGAAAATAATTTAATCGTTGTAGAAATTCTTTATAAAATATCGAATTTATTTGTATAAGTACACTGCTACTTATACTGTATAATAATATATCGACGTAACAAACTTCAGAATTTCGTGAACGATGTTACTTTACAATAATAATAGTTAAGAAATATTTAATCAATCTCATTTGCGATTAATGACGGTGATCCAAATCAAGGTTTAAATCAGAAAGATACTAGTCATGTTCGTGATGATGTCCTGTTTTAACCTGAATAGTAATTCCAATTTATAAAATTAACGATTGCCGGTCACGAATTATGTATGACATTAATAAATATCCTATATGTGTCACAATATCTAAACTAACTCTGAGAATGACACGTGACTATCAAAACGAATTATAAAAGATAAAAGAATTTTGCAGCTTTTTAAATAAACGTCAAGTGAAAATACGTCAACTTTGAACAACGAGAATTTCTAACGCTGTATTCGACAGAGAAATATAAGAAAAATTTTAAATAATAAAAGACTTGCCTAGTTTCCAACTTTGGTTGTCATTAATTTTCTAAAAATTAGCATAAAATTTACCTGCTCATAAATTCTTTGACGTCCAATGAACTATAGAATTGATTATAGAAAGGATAACACTTTTGATTTTACATTTCCTTATACGTATATTTTTAATAAACACCTTGTAAAAGATAAGAAACTTCTTTCTGAGCTCAACAATATTTTCTAAATTTTATGGAACAGTTTGAGGTGAATATTAAACGTGTCAATTCGTTTAATAAAGAGACGATAAAATTGTAATAGCCAATTATATTAAAATCACTGTAAGTACAAGTACAGAAATAGTATACACAGTCGTAATCGTCGCTCGCTCGAAACAATTCAACCCCTCTACTCGCTAATTATTCTACTATTGAACTGTACTAGAGTGTGTACTAGCACATTCGTCTATTTATAACAACAGTTGTTATTATGAAAAGATCAAATGTAATTCTGGTTCGTTTACCTCTGAACCTAGCAAACCAAAACAACGTTGGTATTCCAAGGTACAATAATATGAGTCTCTCGCGATTCAAATCTTCCGTTGACTCACGTGCCGCTACAAGTTAGAATACAATTTCTCTACTTAGATAAAATAACTAGATGACGACAAAATGAATACCATACTACATACGTTCACACGGTTTTATCAGATCACCTGCGACTTCTAATATACATCAATATCTCATTAACTTGCACGTTATGACTTCTAATTTCTACACGCGGAATTTCCGATAAGCTTTGTACACGCGTTTATCTATACAAGCCGATGATCTAATTAATTTCCATTTCACGCGCGTGTACGTTAAAGTTTACCCCCTGCCAGTGTGTCGCTAAACACGTGAATTCCGGTTAATGCCGCGACGAAACGTTTCCGCTGGAAATTCGATTGCGAACCGCGTTAAACAATGATGTCGTGCTCCCCGTCTTTAACATAATAATCGAATACATCAAACTCACTCTGCAGAATTCATCGAATCAGTATTTTACTCGCGAACTGTCTGCCCTCGTATCACGTTTGCTTCGAAATTTCCACGACATAAAAACGTTTGCAATGAAAGCGCATTCATCCTGATTCGTGAACACGTTGATAATTAAAACAAACGACGAAAGGGACGAGCAATCGGCCAAAGCGATTTGCCACGGAACGAAATTTCCCAAAAGGGTTTTTCCTCAATTTAGACCAATGAGTGTTTATTTATCGCTATTCTACTCTGCCTGAATCGAATTCCCTTGAAATTTTTCTCGTTCCATCGCCATTGTCGGATCGTACAAAAATGCGTTGACAATTGTAAAAATGGCACGAGTTGATTCCTAATTGGTGTTGTCAATCTACTGTTAGAATTTTGCATTCGTTGGACGGATATTATTCGCTACAGACTTTTTTAAAGAATAGGAAACAGTCGTTTTGACGAATACGAGTAGAAGGAATAATGTATTGAAATAGATAGAATTACACAGTTTACTTATACTGAATAGTTTAATGGTTATAAACTAGCTTTTTCGATTCAGTTTAGTAATAAATTATAAATAAATTACCACACACAGGCGCGCAAATTTATGTAAATATGTAATCACGATTCGTTTTCCTTATCATCCTACCCATTATTCATGTTTTTTAATCGGTGAGATAATAACGATGAATTTTAATTCTCTGTCCACTTTGCATAGCATGTCAAACATCCATTAAAGTCTTTCTTGTTGCACAAGCTTATAGAACACACCTTGAAATTGTCGAACTCCGATTAGGAATTACTAGGCATATCATCCTGCGAAGGGTAATTCGGAAAATATAGGAGTCTCTCTCGTATTACGTGTTTCACGCGAGCAGAGGTGGCTATATTTTCGTTGAAGACTCCATTGTAGCGCGGAACGCTAACGAGCACATACAGCCGGCGTATTATGAGACCACCAACATGCATCGTTATTCAAGTTGCGTGATATTGACGATCGCGTTTGGACCATTGTAAATAGTTTATGTTATCGAACAAATAAGGTATAGGTGTGTTATATTTTCTTATAATCTGTACTCTATATAGACAAGAATACTTTCATTTTACAAAAGCGTTATATTCGCAATAATTGCACCTGCATATTTCAAATTAAATTAAATTCTTAAAGTTGGAATACGCAGAGTAAAATTTTAATCTACAGTAATTTTTGGTTCAATTATTCAAATAAAAGAAATGAAAATGAAATAATGCTAGATGGAAAGATTTGATAAACAAACGAGGATAATTAAATAGAGTATTCACTAAGTAAAATAATATTCAAATAATATTTATCAATTAAGTAAATATTTCGGGATATAACTAAGGCAACGTAATTATTCTATATTGTCGCATGATAATTGAGGAGCGTATTTTACTCCTCATGTAGGTAAATTCTATTTTATATTAAATCAACAAGTAGTCGTAAAATAATGATATTAATATATTAATGATATTAAAACTCGAAATGTTAAATGTTGTTGGTGCATACATTTTTTTACAAATGTACCAGTTTCTCAAAAGCTTGTTTATTAAGCTTATTAAGTAACAACTTAAAGCATTTATCCATTTTAGCCTGTGATGTTTGTGCTAGCATTGTTCGCACCATGAATTAATCAAAATTAATGTCTATGTTCGTTCGGGAAATCAATTTACATGTAATTACCTATCTGAGCTTGCCAATCTTCTTAATTGAAGAGCCCTCTGTGAGCAGGAAACATAGATATTTGGGATAGCTGACGTAGCGTTGATGAAGGAGTATAGAAGGAGGGATATGTTTTCCGGTTTGCTGCATCCCAATCCACGTCGTAAGCATAGATACACATTGGATTACACTCGAGACAGTTGAACGTTGCACAAGTAACTTAGATTATTTTCTAATTTCAAAAACGCGAATTTTGTCCTCTTTCAATTTTAGAAAGTGCTCACTTTGATAAAGAAGAAAGATATATGTTTAATTATAATATAAGTATTCAAAGCTAGGCTTCAAGTTAAATGTTTGTGTAATGTAACGTTTTGGAACGTACTTCGAATATTTGTTATCTCGTCTCTCTTTGCATGGGTTTACGAAGTCAAGTAGAGTTAGAACTCGATATTCTCGTTGATAGCCTGAATCCCAGGGTATATTGTATATGATAGAGGGTGGTTAGAATTAGAGACTGTCGAACGAGACTCTTGTGTATTCGCCACCTTGTGGCGAGACTTGACAATTAGCATTGTCTTCCAAATATAATTCTGAATACATTTGAGGTAATCTAAATTTGCAACATTTTTTTTTTACATATACAGTATGGAATGAGTGCTAATATAAAAATATATGTAGATTGTACAGATTAAACCACTGTACGAGTTTCTTTAGTCACAAAATGATATTAAAATAAAAAGGAAAATCCACAAAAATCTACTTATGTGCTTTTCCTGTGATCATCGAATGCAACAGATACTTAAAAAATTCATAGAACCTTCGTAATCTATCCTAAAAAAGTATCAAGGGATAAATTATGTGATATTTGCTTTATCATCGTATTAAAACATGTTCTATTCGAATTATGTTTGAAAGAACACGACCGAACATATAAGACTTCATGAAACACGTTGAGAGGTCTTTTCATGAAAAGAAATGACAGAAAAAGCAGCAAGGAGAGCATGCATACGAATGTTATCTAAAAACATGCGCGACGTATCATCGTACTCCCTTCGTGATTACATCAGATGCTTATGGCTATCATTTCGAACATCTGTTGCAAAGCAGGTTCGTAAGACAGAGTAGCTCATCTCTATATTATGTATTACGTGCAATGATCTTTTTAGATATATATACGTGTATATGTAATGTACAATTACATATACCATGTAAGAGACTAGTGGAGTTGTCAAGTTACAATAAAAACCAAAAAATCGCTTGATCATTTAAATGACTTAATCATTTAAGCTATTCATTTATAACATATAAATCATTACTTTATCGTAATTAAACTATTAATTTATAAAATTTAATTTTATAAGTTTATTAGTTCTTTCGAGAGATCGCAATCTTGTTTGTTCCGGGTATGCCGCGATTTTTATTTTACTCTCTGATCGATCGCGATTTTTCTTTCGCTTCTCCCTACTTTGAAGGGAAATTTAGTTCAAGCATCTCGGAGTTTATAA